TTTTTTTTTTTTTTTTTTTTTAATTTTGAAGGAGGAAGAACTGCTAGCTTATTTATGCTCTCTTCTTTGCCAGCTGTGGTAGCATTAGGTCTTGAACTGAGCTCTAAACTTTAATTACTGTAGCAGCACTGCAAAAAAGCCATTCTAATTCTGGGAATACAAACATTCCATTGTCTCTCCAAAGTCCCAGCTAGAATGAAATGTCTTTTAAAAGGTACTTATCTTTTAAAGCCAACTGCTCTGCTCTTCTTATCACCACCTTCAGCCTCTGGATCTAGAGGTAAGTTTCATCACTTTGCTTATACAAAACCTGACCAAAAAGAAGCAAAGCAGGGTTGTGGGTACAGAGATGACTCTCCTCTCGAGGTGGGTGGAAGAATACATAGCACTACTTTGTTAGAGAAAGGTTTTCCATCCATTCTCAGCCAAGGGAGACACATTTCAAGTTCACATTTCAGCTGACCAGACAGCGCTATATGGCTCTCAAGGAGTTTCTGTGGCAATGGATGAAAATATTTGTATCTGGATTTGTCTTCTGCTGTTTTTGTCAATACCAGAAAAGGTCAATGTTTTTCCTTGGTCAGGCAAAGATGATGTCTAGATTTACAGCAGCATGAAAGCTGAAAGAAGAAAAGCAAGAAATAGTTTTGGCAAGTGGTGGGTCCTTCAGTGTCCAGGAACCATTAACCTATTAAAATGAGACTGTTTCTTTTTCTGTCCCCAGGACACTTCAGTCATTCCCATAAGCTCAGATCCTTCCAAGCAACTCAGAGGAAGCAAAGCTCCCCAGAAGGTCCCTGCTCATCTCTTCAAGCAGACATTGCAGAGAGAAAGCAACAGCTCATCAAGCCATAATGTCAAGAAAAGAAATGAACTAAACTAATTCTCTTTTCCTCTTGCTAGCCCAGCATTTAATTTTTAACTTTTAGAGTCTAAACATAGCAATATAGCACCTAACAGAAGGCTTCCTAAATCTTAGGGAATCTCTATCCTTGTATTTAAAGCCTAAAGGATATGCAATGCCTATTCTGACTATCTTCAAAGTAAATCAACAACTAAGCACGATTCCTATCCCAGTGTTGTTAGAATGAGAAGCTGGATTCACAAAATGTTACGCTATGGAAATCTAGAGTAAGAGTGCATTAAATCTGAGTCTTGCCCAGTACACCATCACTTTTCTGTCAGATTCCCATCCCAATCTCTTTTTTACACTGTTTATTTCAAATGTAGCTCCCCTACATCTTTTGGCTGGGAAATGAATACATGCAAGACCCCAGACCTCATGATTCCAGCAACATGAGGGAGCAGACATTTAAAAACACATTTATCATTTCAAGGAAGCCATTCCAAGCTGCTTTTTCTGAGAATGATTGAAAGCAATTTAGAAAATGTGGGACACTAAAATAAGAGGAAGATAGAGACACAACTACTCGTATGCTCCAAAATTTGTTCAAGGAGATCAGGATAATCAAGTATATAAGAGTAATTTCCACAAACTGTAGACTCAAATCAAAATTCTTGGTTTTCCTCAATTAATGCAGCAAAAAGTTGTAAAGTGGCAATTTAAGGGTTAACACAGCTCTGGCTGTTGTTCATGCCCACTGTTGGATATAAGTGAATACAAAAATAACTCATCAATGGTTTGAATTGGCATTGGACTTTTAAATCTGGTGGTTCTGATTTTAATTTAACATATCCTGTGGTGCAGTGTGTGAAATATGTACTTAACCCAGATTGTTGTGAGATGAAAGCACACTCGTGTTTATTTTACATTATTTGCTGTAGTTTGTTGAAAGCCAACATTCCTGGGCAGTGAATGCAGCAGGGATGAATCATTTGAACTAGGTGAGGGGTTAGCAGCTGGAAGAAAATGAAAGTTAAATAACTACGTTAAATTTCAGCAAAATGGGTTAAAAAATGTAATGCTAGAGAAACTTGTTATCTCCATTCTGAGACAAGGAATTATGGTACTTATTTCAATGGGTTTTCTACCAGAACTTCTAATGTCAGCTGTGATTAGAGGTAATTAATATCACACATTTCCTACCTTCAAAACTGAGGTGCTGAAGCAAAGTTAAGTACAAATTGCTACCAAGAGCTGTAGCAAATGCACTAAATGACAGTATAGCATCAGGGAATCAATCCTAATGATTCATATCACCATAGGAATCTTAATCAAGGAGCAGGACATAACCAGATGGAGTATTGAATGGTTAAAGAAAAAAGATGGGCCCTGTGCTGGAGAGCTCAGCACTGAAGCAGAGGCCAAGGGGAATGACAAAGGAGGCAAAGAGAAGGGGAAGCAGAACAAAATGATGGAGCAGCAGCACCAGAAATGAGCCCAGCACAGGGGCAGTCCACAGTAAAGATTTTCTGAGAGCTTGTAACAGTGATTTTGACAGAAGACAAGAGAGTGGGTGTTTGTGCTGGGCCTGTCTCACACCTGAGTGTGGGAGTGATGGGCAAAGGTGCCTGCCTGAAAATCCATCAAGCGGGCAAATAACGCTTATATTAAGGGCTAGATGAGAGCAGAAATTTTATCTGGGTAGTGAATGATGCACTTGAGCCTTGAAAGCAGAAGGAAGGGGCTTCTCCTGAGCAAAGCAGGGCAGAGGAAGGGGCCAGAGGCAGCAGCAGCAGCAGAGCAAAAGCCACCCCTGAGGAAAGGATGCTCACAGCAATGCTTGAGCTGGGTACAAGTTGGACCAGACAGTGCTTTTCAAGGCCAGAAAGAAAAAGAGGTGGGAGTAGCTGAGATTCTAAATGCCAGAAGCCTGCACAGGAATTTCAGCTGAAAGGAGACGAAAGGCCAAAGAATAAAGCTCGTATTGAGGAAAAAAAAATTAAAAATCACTGAGGGTGTGAGAAGTCTGAGCCAAAGATGTCTCCTAGGATGCCTGTGGGACAGGCAGGATGCTCCTGAGGCTGTGGGGATCTCACAGAGCTGTCAGCTGAGCAGCTCTGCTCCCACCACGCTGCAGCTGGAGGGGAGTTGCTTTTGGGGGGTGTTAGAGGGAGAGGCCTCCGCTGGGAGAGATGGAGCAGGGAAGCAGATCTGTAAATCACAAGGGACTGGGAAAGCGAATGCGAGTTTGGGGCTGTAGGTGAGGCTGCACAGAGACAACGTGAACACACAGAGAGGAGCAGGAGAGAGAAGCAGGTGCAGAAGTCCCTGGAGAGTGGGGCAGTGAAGGGAAGCATTGCAGAAGGGGAATTGAGCAAGGAAGAGAAGGCAGTGGGTCACCAAGAGAGGATGGTGGCTCCATGGGTGTCTGACTCAGGTGGTGTCCTCAGGGCTGTGCCCTGCTCCTCGTGGTTTCACAGCCTGCTCTGCAGAGGCCTCTTGCTGGTCTCTGACTTTCTTCTTCTGTCTTCAGCTGCTCTGCCCTCCTTGCTCAGGTGTGAACAAACCCCAAGGAGGCAGAGGACAGGCTGGGACATCCTGCATTCTCTTGCAGTGCTTGAAAGATCAGCATTACTGAAACCCAGAAGAAGAAGAAGAGGTGTTGAAGGCTGTCAGAGTCAGGCAATCAGTCGGGCAGGTGCACTGAGGAGTACAGAGAGCTGGGAAAGAAGGGGCAGAACAGCAAGAGGCTTTCCTTGGGCTAGCAAACACTTGGGTTGCACAGCTACAGGCTTCATCATCACCCTACTCCCCCGATTTCAGTTTTCAGAGACAGCAGGGTTTTAGTCCTTCATCATCCTGTCAGGCTGGTCCAGATGGCAGAGACTCAGAGCAAAGCAGTTATTCACCAGGAGAGGCATTGGAAAAGGACAGGCTCTCTCTCTAAAAGCAGTAAAGTTGCATTCAGTGAACACTGCACTATGTCTAAGAGCAGTAAGGGCTGGACTGATGTAAAATTGAGGTGGTCATGTCATTTTGGTCATTCTTTTGTCTGCATTTTATGTATAGCTTCTATAACTTTGAATAATTCAAATTTTGTTTATCAATTTTTGTCCTTCAAAAATTGCAGGAATACTTTGTCTGGCCAAATAAGCGTTTCCTGGCTGCTCTTTCCATTAATTCTCTCAGTCTTTACTGAGGGGCAGAAAGATAGGGATGCTTAAATTTCTAGATCATTAAGATTGGAAAAGACCAAATCCAAAATGTGCTTTTTTTCCCAATCATTAAGATTGGAGAAGACCTGTAAGCTCATTGAGTCCAATGCAGCACCTCCATGTCCAACACTAAACCACTCCATGGCTCCCACCTGCCATATCTTGACGACTCCTGGGATGGTGATTCCACCACTTCCCTGGGCAGCCTGCTCCAATGTCTGATCACCCTTTCAGTGAAGAATTGTTCTCTGATATCCAATCTAATCATTCCCTGGTACAATTCCTAAGATTTCCATTGGAGATGCTCGCTTAAATTCAGCGCACAGGCACCTGCTTGAGTTTTGGGCTGATCTCTTTGAGGTGCAGAGGTTATCAGCGCACTGAAAGCCCTTGCTGCCTCATTTCTTTGCCAGAATGCCACAACTCGTGCCCTGAGCTGCTCCAGGATGCGCTGGCGATGGATGCGGCTGTGACAAGAGCAGCACCGCTCCAGGCTGCGGGCGGGCAGGGGGCTCATCCAGGAGGGCGGGGAGGGATCAGAGCACTCCCATCGCTCGCTGCCGGCTGCGGGGAGCGCTCCGGGAGGGGACGCGGCGGCGGCGGCTGCAGCGCGGGGCCGCGGCCACCCGGGGGAGCGCAGGCACCGCCGCCCGCACCGCACCGCGCTCCGCCCGCCCCGCTCCGCCCGCACCGCGCCCCGCACTGCCCCGCACCGCGCCCCGCCCGCACCGCGCCCCGCCCGCACCGCGGAGCCCCGCGGAGCGCTCCGAGCCGGAGAGCGGACCCCATCCAGGGTAAAACACTGCCCCCCTTCCGGCCTTACATAAACTTAAACTTTTCCCCCCGTTTCTCTCTCTCTTTTTTTTTTTTTTTTTTTTTTTTTCCCCCATTATCGAAGATCTCAAATATTCCGAGAGAGGTTACAAAATGTGTTTACTTACAAATTTGGAAGTAGCGACAAGACGCAATGCAGTGAATTTGTCATCTGCTCATGACTAGCAGATGGTCCTCCTTCTTTTGCAAGCGAACTGCGTGAGTCACATCTTGCCTGGTTTGTGGGATCGAGCCGAGGCGCTCCCTGGCACCGGGGTGGACAGAGTGGCCCATCCTGGTCCTGCCACCTGCCCACACGGCCAGTGGCTCCCTGGCACTGGCTGGATCTCACCTGCCCTTTGGAAAGGTTCCTCATCCCTCCTGCTCCCACGGCAGATCGATCCGGGTGCACTCCTGTCTATGGAGACTCCTTCACGTGGCCCTCACAGTGCAAAGGGATCTTTAAATGGGAGCACATTGCATTAACATTTTACAGACGAGCTGATGAGATAACTGTGAGTTGTGCTTGAACAGACTCAAGTCAGAGTGGAAATGCAAAAAAGCCTGATGAGACCCTTTTGGCTGGAATCAGTGCTGCTGCAGGCCAGTATTGCTGTGAAAACCGAAGTTCCCTGCATCAAGACATGACATATTGAAGGTGACTGAGCTGTCTGTGCTCTTAGTCAGTAACAAAACTAAACAAAACAAAATTAAAATAGCCCAAGTCTCCATTGGTTTAGAGCTGAGGTGCTCCCTGGCACCGGGGTGGACAGAGTGGCCCATCCCGATCCTGCCCACACGGCCAGTGGCTCCCTGGCACTGGCTGGATCTCACCTGCCCTTTGGAAAGGTTCCTCATCCCTCCTGCTCCCACGGCAGATCAATCCGGGTGCACTCCTGTCCATACAGACTGCTCCATGTGGCCCTCGCAGTGCAAAGGGATCTTTAAATGGGAGCACATTGCATTAACATGTTACAGACGAGCTGATAGAGATGACTGTGAATTATGCTTGAACAGACTCATTTTTTAGCTGTGGATGAAGCCAAAGTGGGAAATGCAAGAAAGCTTGGTGAGACCCTTTTGGCTGGAATCAGTGCTGCTGCAGACCAGTGTTCCTGTGGAAACCCAAGTTCCCTGCATCAAGGCATGATGTGTTGAAGGTGACTCTGAGCTGTGCTCTTAGTCAGTAATAAAACAAAACAAAACAAAATTAAAATAGTGCAACTCTCCATTCATTTAGAGGTCTGTGCAGAGCTTTCAGAATTGAAGTTGCTTGTCCTGGTAAACAGATAAGCACTGTCTCAATTTTATTACAGGTATGTTAGAAAGTTGTTTTACAAGATCTAACATTCTTTCCTGCCTTCCCTCTCTGGTTTGAGCTGATTTCTCTTGATAGCTTTTCCTCAGTTATGACACATTCCTGGTTTTGTCTTATCATGTAAATCTGCATGATTGGTTTTCCTCAAGATCTGTGTCTGTGTGTGTGTATTCTTCACAGCAGAGCAAGTTTAAATGATACAGAAATGATACACCAAGAGTGATGGGGAAAATTCAGGGAAGATATCAACCTGAAAATGTTTTGAAATGTTTTTTTGCAAAGTGGACAGGTTTCAGGTTGACAGGTTCTTTTAAAATGAATTAATTTCCAAAGCTGTCACTTATTTATATGGCATAATACTCGTGGCTCTGCTGAATGCAAGAGTTCCACTTGCTCACACCAGCCATGGGTAAGTTGTGTGCTCCTGCCAGATGCTCATGCTTGCAGAATGTGAGACACAAAACTTATTGTGCTTGACAATCTATAGGTAGCAGAATCCATGTGAATAATGTAAAGAAAGTGTTGGGTTTCCTTGCTTTTCAGTTTCTTCTGGAATGTTTTCTTTCCTGGTTTTCATAGAAGAGCACTCCAGATTAAGGCACTCATTGCAGGTAAGAACAGAGAGACAGTCCTCTTGTTTCTGAAAGAAATGCTAAATTCTGCAGAGAACAGTGAGGAAACTCATGTTAACCTGGTAATAAATCCACACCTGGCACCAGGAGCTCTGATTTGGAGATCCTGGAGCTGTGACCAACCTGTGAGCACCATGGCACAGCCACAGTCCATCACTGGCATTTCCTCCAAAATTTTCTCTTCCAGAGGTCAGATGCCGCTCTGGGAATTGTCTCCCTGCAAGGACACAGAGCTGGATCTTCTCCTCTGTCTGAGCTCCTCATCAATAGCTGTGAAGGTGCTGGTGCTGAATTGAATGTGGGAATGAAGAGGAATGGGAATTGATGGCTGGTTGGGATGGAAACATGAGGGGGTTGCTTGCAGAGGTGGATTGTCTTCAGGTTTGGGAAGGGTGACACTCATGGGGGCCCCTGGGGACTCCAGTGCATCTAACCAGCATCAGGAAAGCCCTCCAAGGTGCCAAGAATAGGTTTGTCCTCTTGGTCCCTGAAATGAGCCTCCTCTCTCCTCTCATTGCTGCCAATAAATCCAGGATTAGGAAGCTGACAGCCGCCTACATGCTCTGGAAGAACACAGTGACCACACACAAAATTTATAGCCTACAACATTGCTGTAGGTGGGGATAGAAAATACTTTTGTGGGGTTTTCAGGCTTGGGATTCCCCGTGGGTGCTGGCAGTGACATACCCTGATACATTATCCCCCTCCCTGCAGTGAGGCATGCAGGAGGAGACGGCTGGTATGCTCCATGTCAGTACAGAATTCCAGGGATTGGTGTTGTCCCAGGTGCTCTGGCAAGGTGCAGGTTACCTGTGTTTGATGCACCTGGAGCTTGGCTTTTGCTCCACAGTCAGATCCATCTGCTTCAGGTCAGTGCTGTTCTCTTTTCACTGTCAAAACCCCACAGCCCTGGCTGGTTGCCCTCTTGGACAAGCCTCTTTCACCACCTAAAACCCTCCCTTGGGGCCTCAGCAGATAAATACATGGATGGGGAGCATGCCATGGGCTTTCTAAAACACGGGCACCACAGCTGGTCAGCTTTAGCCTGCTGGCTTTTCCTTGCTAACAACATGCACTGCTCACCCCTCATCACTGTTGCTATACCAGCTTTGGTGACCCCATGTTCACAGAGGGGAAGGAGACAAAAAGGAATGCTTGAAAAGGTCCATGGGAGGCCCAAGTGTGAAGCCTGCAGGAGGAAAATTAATTCAACAGAAGTTGTGAATAGAAAAGAGTGGCATAGTGAGCTCACACAGGCTCGACATTCCTTGGTTTCTACAATGTCTGGGATCTGGACCTGAAAATCCTGGGTAAAACCACAACTAAGGGAGATGAAGTGGGAAAAGCTCTCACCTCTGTCTTCTTTGTTGCAGTTGGATATGGAGAATCACAGCTGTGAAATTTAGATCCTAGCCAGCCAGCTTCTGTGAGGTTTTCACCTCTGAGCTGAAGTTGGCTTGTAGCGGGCAAGTTTCTCATTATTTTTGGGTAATTCACTGGGATGAATACAAAATATAATTCATTCCAGCAAAAGAAGAGCTGCACCTCCATTGGAGGTGCTTTGGGTAAATGGAAAGCTCTGAGATATATGTTCTGCAACTCACAGTGAGAATTTAAATAAGATACCTTGGAAACTGAAAAATGAGCAGCCACTGGAATACCCATCATCTCAATGTTGGATTTTCACAAGGCAGGGGCCTTGGAAGTAGATGATATTTAAGATCCCTTCCAACCCAGGCCATTCTGTGATTCTGTGATCTTTGGGAAAGGGCTGAAACCCAGATGCAAACCTAACAGAGCTATCTTGTTTCTAAATTATTTAGTTTCAAGCTAACTCAAGAAGAGCCATGGAAACTCCTCATGGAAACCAGATAAGCCTATGGATAAAATAGTAAAGAAAAACTTCAAAACTTGCCGTTAAATAACTATAATGAAAGAGACAGACGTCCTGATTGTACTAATATATGAAAATATCCAGTCCCTACACCTTATCCATGCCCCAGATTCCAGCATAAAATCATGAGTGTACTCAGATATTTCAAACAGACCTTGCCAAGATCAACTGCTTCATGTTTAATGCATTCTTTGTGTATCTCAGGTAAAGAAAACACAATAGAATGGTAAATCTTACCCAGAAACACCATTGCATTTCTGGATTGCCAGACCTGTCTTAGCCCCAAGCAAGGGAGAAGTTTGTACAGCAGTTAACGTGATTAAGCATGACTGACGCCATATGTGTCCCAGGCTGGAAGAACTGCTAAATCTCTACATTTTGCCCAGTCATGTCACTGAAAGTGATTCCATACACCTGAAGAAGATTGCTACACCCAAATGTTTATTTTTCTGGTGATACTGGTTGGCCTACTTTTGCCTATCAGGGGAAGTACAAGCTGTTCCTACCTGAATGTCCTGAGACCATTCCAGATGAGTTTTCAGACCTGTCTGAAGTTATATTCTGGGTCCTGACAGAGAACTGAGCTCAGCACCTTGCACTCCCTTTTCCAGCAGGAAATAGAATTTTGCGTGCCTGGCTGCTGCTCTGAATTAAAACCAAATCTCCCAAAAAGTAACCCAAGTATTTGACTTTGTCAGGAAAGAAGATGTGATAAGAATGTGGTTGCCTTTGAGGGCAGATAAGGGAGAGCTTCTGGTCCTGCTGCATGGCAGATCTCCTGCTGGGAAGTCCTGTGGGAGGAAGGAGCGTTATTTTGTTCATCCAGCATTATGGATAAACTCAGCATCCACTACTGGATGTGAAACAGCCCCTTGAAACTGAATCCAGCTCTTCTCAATCTCCAAAGGATAGAACTGTAGTTTTGCTAAGGAAAACTAAGCCTGTGGTCTCAAGGGATATGAGATACGCTTTTATTGTTAATTTGTATATTTACTTTGCTGCAAATGTCATCTAAAGCTGTGTAGGAGGAACGTATCTGGAGGGTTTTTATCCAAATTTGTTTTATTTGGTGTAGACACACTCTGAAATAAACCTGAAGGCTGGGGGGGTGGGAGGGGTGGAGGCTGGGCCTGAACCTTAACACCATGAGTGTTCTCCTCAGCCCCATGGGCTCTGGCTGCACTGCCCACACAGGGCTCCCCAAATTACCTCAAAGGACAAAGTGATGGGGATCAATGTGGCTTGTAACTCCTTCCTTAACTCCCTTGCTATTGATGTTTTCTAACAAGAGATCCAAACTGTGACAAGAGAAACGAGTGAAGAAAGACCTTTCGAAAGAGGAGCAAAACGGGAGATGGTCCAAGCGTCTGTAATTAGCTAATGGCAGTGAATATTTATGAAATCTTCCAGCAGTGGCAGAGAAGTGCTGATCCCAGAGAAGTGGACGCCCTCTTCCTTGATGTCTTTAATCCTTGCAGTCCCAGCTGCCATGGCTCGAGTTTTGGAAAACCCCACCCTCTTTCTGGCCTCTGATCAAAATCAATATTTCAGAGGGAAATGCAGAAGAGCAAAGGAGTTAAACAAAAGTTCAGATAAGCATAACAAATGCTGGAAAGATGAGATCCTCCAAGCAGAGTGCTCTAGAAAGCCCTCCTGTTAATCTGGGCAAGGTTCTCATCAATTGCTCTGAGGAGGAAGAGCTATTATTGGACTCATAAGGAGGTAAGAGATTTATTTCCTCAGCTGCATGGAGTCATGCTATGAGATATCATTAAGTAAGAATAATTAGGATTTGAACTTTTAACATACAAGATTTGTAGGTTCTCCTGTGTTTCCAGTCATTTCCAGATATACCTTTCCTAAGTAGCAGTCATGATTTCTGTACCATTAACTATATAATCCTTACAAATAATTTTTTTTATGTCTAAGTGGCTATGTTGATCTCCATTTGAGCATCTGTAGATGAACTTGGTAATCAATACTTTGGGGTGATAACAAAATAAAATATTGAAGTGTATTTTAATTTGAGCAGCTCAGTGACGATCCAGCAATGCGGATTTCATTTTCCTGGCAATACCTTGATGCAGTTAAGACATAGCCCAGAAAAAAAAAAAAATGGCAAAATCCAGAATGGTCACATCAGGTTAGTTGGTTTCATGGTTACAATGGCAATATGAGGAGCTTGCACTAACACACAGAGCTGAATTTTCAGGGTGTGGGAAGCAAGTGTGCAAAGGGTCTGATGATTAACTTTCTGGCACCAGTTGCTTTTCTGTCACACTGCAATCATTACTTCAGGCAAAAACAAATCATTCTGTTGCTTCATCTGCAGAAAAAAAGCCCAGTCCAGCTCCATCTTCTGCCAAGCCTGAGCCTTCTCTTTCTTTCTGGGCACATGGAGGGTCTGTGGCAGCGCTGTGGAAGGGACCAGAATGAAGGTGCCAGGAGAGCAGAGGTCCCAGTGCCCAGTGAGGTTTTTGTGATGGCGTGGAGCCCAGGACAGTCCCTTCCACTGTGACATTTGAGATCTACTGATCTCAAGTGTTTCGTTTTGCAGAGCAACAAATAGATTTTTTCCATTTTCAGAGCCCTAGTCTTGATTTCTTGTATAGCTTGTGTTATTCATGTCTGGACCACAGCTGATCATTGCTAATTTTGATGCAGAGTTTGACTTTCCCTCCAGAGCAAAGGGTTTAATGCTATTCTTCAAAGGCAGTGCAGATGGTTTATTGAGTGTCAGAGATCCAAAGAAGCTTAAATGGATAAATTTTAAAATGCAGTCCAGGACTTAAAGAGACTGGCTGATTTTCAGTAGGTAAAGCCGATTTTGAACATGGCCACTGCCACAGTGACCATGGGATCAAACTGGATTGGGATCCTACAATCCTTCTGCCTATTCCCACCCACCTTCTTACTGGATAGTGGCTGGGCTGACACTTATTTAGGCTTCCATTGATGCTGCCATACAACAGAAAAATAGTCAAATGCTTCATTTTAAAGTTCCTGAATCAAGAAGTAATAATCATTAATGGGAATGGTTTATACAAAGCTGTTAATTGATGAGCCGGGAGAGAAAAGAACTTCTTTCCTGAAGAGCAGCATTGAACAGGTCATGTCAGAAAGGAGATATAACATCACTGCTGTGAGATAATTGTTTTTAAATGTGGTTGATTTACCAATAATAGAGTCATAGAGAGGTTTGGGCTGGAAGGGACCCTAAAGATCACCCTGTTCCAACTCCCTGCCATGGGAATGGACACTTTCCACTAGAGCAGGTCAAAGAGGGAGTAGAGAAAAGAACCCCTGTGGGACAGTGTGACAGGCAAGGTGATGCTGAGCAGTCCTGGAAGAACAGGAAGTCTCAGAAATGGGAAGATCCAAGGGTAAAAGGGTGGGACAAGTACTCACTTTAAGCAGATGACTGTGGTGCAACAGATTTCCCTTCACCTAAATAATTCCATGCCAAGGACTTCCCCAGCTGTGTATCCTTGAGTGTGCTACATAAACATAACTTCACATTCTTCCCAAAAATTTTCTCAATAATTGCAATTCAATAAATAAATTTTCCCAATAAATGCAATCCAGAATAATAAATTGCAGCTATTCTAAAACTAAAATTAATCTGTATCACATCTGCATCTCTTAAACACACACCATTCCATATTCTTGCTGGCTTTGTCAGTCACATGCCCAGAAACACTTTCGGTGCACTAAGAAGAAGCATAAAAACTCCAAATCAGGTGTTTGGATCTCCACAACCATACTGGCTTGAAAGAAATTCAACCTACCAGGCAGAGAGCCAGGTTCTGCTATTGCGAAAAATGGTTCTCCTGCAAGTGCTAAGGGATTAAATGTTCCTCCTCATGTTCTAGGCAAGGGCACTGTAGGCTTTCCAATGGTAATAAAATGCAAATTTCACCCATAAGTTTTTCTGTTGACAGGGAGGATAACAATCTACCTCTGTGTGTGTGTGTGTATATGTGTGTGTGCTTAAAAATTTTAAAAATTAAAATCTGCTGGAAAATTGAGTGTAAAAGGGTATGACTTCACCAGATATTTTTTTTTGAGACAAATATACTGAATTGCAATAAAAATGTACCTAATCTTTAAGTCACTTATACTGTTGTGTTTATTATGAATATGGATATGCAGCTTGTGGCTCATCAAAGTATAGGGGCTGTATTGACATGTGATGTATTGGATCAAGAAATTAATTTTGCAGGATCAGAGACAGAGTCACAACACAAACAAAATAAAAAAAAGTCCAAAAACAGGAAAGGCAGAGCATCTCTATTAGCTATGACTGATTTTCCATTGCCCTACATCCTTGGTAGCAATTAGGTGTGGCTATAAAATGCTGTAAAAAGACTAAATGCAATAGCTGGTCTGCACTGACTTGGCTGAATGTTTGAGCTGCTCAATGTGGATTAAACTCTGCCATCACAGAGGGATAAATTTGCAAATTTCAACTGAGAGCATGCAGATTTTAGTGAATCAACACGAGCAAATTGACTTTTATTACCAATATTCCAAATGTATCATAGCCCCAGGACACATGATGTCCAGGAGTGCCCTCACTCACGGTCTGCACCTGAAGTGCCTTTCACAAACAGGAGGCTGCTTTGGCAGCAGGGCTTTCACCACTGCTGACAAGTGCTTTTTGAAAAACTGGGCACAATGGTCTGAAAGCTGATGCACAAACCAAATTAATCCCCCTCAGCAGAATTGATTCTCTGCTCTCACCTGCGGCTTTATCAAAAACTAGCCAGGGGGTTTAAAACGTATTCTGAACTTGTGTCAGAGCAATGAGATGAGCTCAAGAGCTCTTGCAGCGCTCTGCCCTTCTGCTTGCAACAGGAGTGAAACCCCACATGGCAAACCCCACCTGCACATGGATTGGAGCCTCTGTTTCCCTTTGTGGGGTGGTGTCCACTTGCTTCAGATGGAGATTCAGACGACTTTCAGCACAAGGGACCCTGCCGTGGTGCTGGCTGCAGGGAAATCCAGAGCAGAAGTGTTTCTCATGGATAGATTCTGCACTTTACACAAAATGTGTTGTGACACATTATCTCCTCACCATGTAGCAAAGTGTACTTTGCAGCAATTGAGGAGAATCAGTTAAATCCAGCCTGTACTTGTGTTCGGGCTCGTTATTTATAGTGAGTGTGGGAGTGTGTTGGCCCCTTCTGACAGCATATCATGGCCATCTCAAATCCTGAAAGCACTTTTTTGTTGTTGTTGTTGCCACAGTAAATGTTTAAGAAGTTTAATCTCGAATCTGTGAGCGATTTGGAGACCAGTCTGTTCATGACACATTAACAAAATTAGAGCAGGGAATGTTTTGCTGAAGGAGCTCTCGTGCTTTTACAAGGAGTGAGGTTGTTGGGAGTGTGCTCCCTGCTGTGTGTGCTGCCAAGGCAGGGCCTCCATGGCCCACAGTGATGCCTCTGGATGTCTTTGCCCATGGTATTCCAAAAAAATTTATATTTTTATTGAACCAGCCTAAGAGATTTAGAAAATCAAATCTCAAGGTGTTAGAGAGGGCACTTAGCATGGTGTGAATTGGAGTTTCAACAGTGAGCATAGCCAGAAGAAAAAGAGTTAATTTTGCTTCAAGAAGAAGACATGGAAATAATTTTTTTTCCTTGCTAATTAAATATGAAACTGACTAACGGTATGCAAGTGTAATTTTCTTATCTTATTAGCCACGTTCATTTCTGAAGTGAATAACTACCAGCACTGGTACAGTATATGGGCAGAATAATAGTCAAACTGATTTTTACTTTAATCTCTGAATACAATTAGCATAATTTAAACTGTTATAAGCTACAGCAGATAGAAATCACATTATAGAGACTGTAGGTGGAGAGGTGGGTGGTCACATGCAGGGGGAAAACTGGAAGAGCACTTAAAATACAGCCAAATAATAAGCATTCAGGAGAATGTAAAGCTACATTGAGTTGAAAGGCACATTATTTCAAGAGATGGGGGAAGAGAAGTGGATAATCATGAACAAGGTTCAAGGACTTCTACTACTGCAGGGCCTGATCCCAAGCAATGCTGTAAGAGATGTTGTTTATACAACTGTTTTATGGGGCATGAAAATTCCAATTTTCCAATTTCATTCCAATAAATGAAAATTATCCCAAATTCCATTTTCTGTCAGAGGAGAGAGCAGCCCAGCGGAGATGGACAGATCACATCTTGCCTGACCAGATGAAAAGAGAAGAAATCAGGATATGATGGGGAAGGAAAGAGGCAGGTGAGATGGGGAACCAAAGAGATGGACCAGGGGTGTAAAGTGTTTGAGTGAATTGTGCATGAGAGCAGGGGTAGGAAAGGAGAGAAAGGATGGGCTGAATGAGGAGCCTGGGTCTGGAAATGCTGAATTGTAGGCTAGGGCTGATTGAAGAGTCAGCACCAGTGCGTGTGGGAGGAGAGTGACGTGAGCAAGGAGAGGAGACAGGGACAAGGTGGTGAAGGTAAACCCAGGCTCGAGGAGAGTGGAAAGAAGGTGCAGCCTGACAGAGCCTGGGATGCTCACACCATCCTACTCCTCTGCTGCCAGCAAATACCCATACAGCCTCTGGGAAACCATCCTACATCACCTGCCACTGCAGCCATGGAAAATAAAGGATTACAGCTGAAAACTCAGGAAACATTCTGAACTCTTTTTCCTTTCAAATGCCTCCTTGCCCTCCCCATTTACATCCTGTGCTAGTTTCTGCAGTGTTTTTTGAGCAAGTAACAAAATTGAGCCCAGGAATCTATCCTGTTTAACCAGTAATAATCTCATGTTGGCCACAATTAAATTTCTGTGGTCCCTTTTTAATTGTTGCAAGGAAATCAAAAGGATTTGTCACCTAGTACAGAGTGCTCTGAAATGTTGCTAAGCTGTACAGCATGTATTAATCTTTGGGTAAATTTTATCTATATCTTGACAACTTACCCAGATCATGTTGTTTGTAAAGAAATAGAAATGTTCTTCATCATAGCATGACTGAGGGTATTCTGCAGCCAGGCCTTACTGCTGGAGAACAGAACACGACTGATGTATTTTTCACATCAAATTGATAGATTTCCCATCAAAAAGAGATTTCTGAAGTATGGAACATGGACCTCACTCCTGAGTGGCTGTGCCTTTGTTGCAGTGCTCTCTCTGCTCTTTGAAACTTCTTCCTACCAATAAAAAAAAAAAAAAAAGAAAAGAAAAGGAAAAAAAAGCAATCTCCAGACTTTATTCACTACTACATAATAGAAGGTGTTGTCAGCAAATGGCACTTACAAAAGCAGACTTCCAGATGGTGAAATGTCAAACTGGAAGTCCAATGACTTGGATGATGATGTCTGGTTGCCCAGAGAGCTCCTACAGAGCTTTCAGACAGAGGTGAAAATATTCTGCTTTTTTGAATCAGCCCTACTTGCATTTTTACAATGAGTTGGGCACAGCTACACTGAGGTATGGACTGTACTCTGTGTGTGTGTGTGGACAGAGATCGGCCAGAAAATCTTGGAATCATTAATTAAATCAATGTATATCACCCCCAGAAATATGTGCACTGAGCAGTGTTTGTAGATGAGCAGTACATGTAAAGTGAAGATCCATGCATGCTGTGCAGCTGTACTTTTGGCAAAGATGACAGAGGATGATACTTCCTGAGAATACTTTCAAGGTCTGATTTTTGTTTACTCAATTATTATTTGTTGTATTTAATGCACCAAGAAAAAGCATTGCAATTGCTGTGAAGCACTGTGATGCAAAAAAAAAAAATCAGCAAAGCCATTTCAGTAATTATTTGGTGGGATTTTTTTCCCAGTTTTTCTCGTAATTTTTGCATTTTGTAGGCTTTTAAATGAGATTAACCTTTAATGGACATGCCCAGAACACAGCTAGTGACATCTGTCTGAGAAAGAGATTTACAAATACACAAGTGTTTATATTTCTAAATATGACAATGAAGGTAGCAAGTAAATGTTAGTGCATATTTAACACTCTCTAGTTCTGCTATTCAATTTAGAAAAAAAAGTTATGAAAGATTACAAAGTGCTAACAAGGACAGCCCTCACCAAGCCCAAACTCTGAAGAAATAGCAGCAATCCTGCAGCATTGCATTTCTCTCTCAGTGCCAGGGCTCTATATTTAACAAGCTTTCCCCAGCTCCCACACCCTGATGAATTCATTGGAATGCAGTAGGAAAGCAAAAGCTCATCTGACTCATTAGGAGGCTCATATGCAATTACCATCAATTAAAAATTCCTTCTAGAGCCACCGTGTGAATTTGGGTGTGCTGAAAGAAATGAAATCATCAGGATCTCTGTGAGCAGGACTTACCTTTGCACGGAGCTCAGGACAAAGTGAGATTTGATTAATCTGCAAAAACAATTAGCTGATGTGCTGAGGACGTGTGGGATCCCCAGAGAACTGTGTCTGATGGAGTTTTACATCTTCCACTTCACCTTCTGTGTCTTGCAATCAACAGAGCCAAAGAAAAGCTTCTCTATATTGGGAATGTATTGAAAAAAACCTGAAACTGTTGTAACAACATGTTTTGTTGATATGAAATTATTTTCTCTTTCTTCTCACCAGCCGCTAGTGAGGAAAAAAAGTTGAGGTGGAAGTGTAATGACAAATGATTTACAGATGGATTCCTTTTTCACTGTATTCCCATTAAGATGGGTTGTAAACACTTCACTTTCCTAGCCCAAGATCTTTCTCAAAATTTGTTCTGTTTAGGTTTAACTTGTTAGATTTGGAATAAACTCTTCAAAAGACTGAGCAGCTCTTGAGCCAACCCAACAGAATTGAGGTGCCTCTGTCATAGACTTTCATTGAAAAATTTTATCTTAACATGAGCTTTACCTGTGCATCTGATATTTTAACACTATGGAATGTTTATGTCCTGTTGATTAAGCCTTTTATTAAAACTTTAGAAAAAATACAACAGAGCAATTAAAAGTATGTGTATATATAATTTCACAAGCATTTTAGAAGTCCATACAATAAAACAAGCATGTGCTTATGCTATACTTATTTGTTTTCATTATTCACAAGAAAAAGTAAATTCCACTTTTATCTGTAAAACAGGGTAATGCCTAAATATCTAAGATTGTTGTATTGTTTCTATTTGAAAAATAAAAATGGTAAAAACCCCCAAACTTTAACTGTGAGTACTTTAGAGCAGGAGCGGCCATTTCTGTCACTATTTATGTTCTGATGGTGCCAAGAGGATTCTTATGTTTAAAAAGTCTTTAAAAGCCTGTAATCACACAGAATTTCCACAGGTGGAAAGCAACCAGAGCTCCACCAAAACGTATAGAAGCTGCACAAATAACAAATAATAAACAGCCCTGGAGTGCAGACACTGATTTCCAAATAAAGATTGACAGATCCTTTTATTTCCTGCACATTGTGTCTTAGGATAAATAAGAGAGCCCAGACAAATCCTTTTGGGTTTGTGTGGTTTGTTTTTGTTTTTTTCTTTTTAATAAATGCAAGGTGGTTCAAAACCTTTGGTCTGAGCTTGAATGTTGGGTCTACTTCTTCTTGGAACATTGTGTAGAAATTTTGATGGAGAGAAAAAATAACCCAAATCTCTATTCATTTTTACAAAGATCATAATGTAATTTATTTCATGCCTGCAGTAGTAGTTATTCAGTGGGGACAAGCAGGACTGGGATGCTCAAAAATTCCTAAAGCTGATATTTAGACATACCTATGCACTGAGATCTAACAATTATCTGAACATCGTAGAGGTCTCAAGGAAAATGTTTGAAGTTAGTTTGAATAGAGAAACACGTATATTCTTATACAAGGGAAGAGCAAGGAAGAGGAACTTTCAGTTGGAGAACAAATCTGGTCTCATATAACTCAATTTAACCTGTACTTTTTTCAATGTATAGGTTTTTGTCCAATGAGTTATCTACAAACAAACATACACTGATTTTGCTTTTACATTAAAATCCCTCCAGGTAAGAGAAGCAATCCAACTGAAAACCAGAAGTCGAGAATCTTGTGTCACTTACATAAACTAAACATAGACTGATATTTTTCCTACAATTTCCACTTTTTATTGTTTCTCAATAAAAAGGGGGCCAAGCTAGGAAATGTGTCAGCAAAGCAGAGAGGTGGTTTTATCAGCAGTATACATGCTGCTTTTTTGGAAACATCTAGAAGATTTACTTCCTGGTAAATCTTCTGCTGTAAACTTGTGTGATTTGCAGAATAAAGTAGAGCTGAGGGGTGGGAGAGAATTTATTTATCAGGAACATTTGAGAACGGTTACCACGGTGAAAGAAACAGAAGACAAAAGATCCATTAATTTAATCATCTTTGATCATTTGCAGGCTTTGTTTGGATGTGTTTGTATCTTGGAAAAATTAAGAGTGTGCAGATGATAGCAATCAGAAAGGCACTCTCCTCCAAGATCAATTTGATTGAATTCACATGAGGGGAAAAAATAAATGTTTGAAGCCAAAATCAGCGTGACACCGCTGATGTTCCAGGGGGAGCTGAGGTCCCCTCTATATCCATACGCTGAACATGCCTTGGGTCATGAAACCAACAAATCAGATATTTGCAGCCAGTTTAGAAAAGACCTTTGGAGCACTTTAAGAAAGGGTGATTTCCACCAAGGCATCCAGTACCCCATGGAAGAACCAAAGAGGAAAGAATATCATTGCCATCAGTGCCTGCAACAGGGGGTTTCAGAAGGGAGAAACTTCTAGAAATCTGGTTATTTCCTAGCAAGGCTTCTGATTAGCTTTTGGACAAAAGTCTTGGTTTAAATTATGTTAATCTTCTTCACAGGGCAGGGACAAGCAACTTTCTGATTACAAGAACAAAATAAGGAAATACTGGGACAAAGTCTCTGTGGACATAAATCATTGTGATACCATTGAAAGCCAACACACAACAGACAATTTCATTTGCTATCCAGCCTGTTCTAAAACAGGCAAAGAATGTTAAAATTCTTCTTTTTGTGTTGAGATTAAATCCTGCAAATTTGCCATGGAAACCATTTTTTTCCCCCTTCCCCTGCTTTTCACAGCTCAGTAATAGCAATTCTTCCAGAGAAGGGAGGTTTGAGCATTGTGGTTTGGGGTGGGGGTTTCTTGGGAGGTGGGCTGAAGGGGAAAAACGGGGAGGGGAAGAGGCCAGAATATGTTAACTCTCAGAAATGAGTTCACATGGCCAAGGTCTGGGTGTTGAGTGCCAGCAAAGGACAGATGCTCCTAACAGTTGGAGCATTGTGGCATGGAGGAGGGAGCCATCCTCCAGAAGCCACCCTGGGAAGCAGGCAGGCCTGGGATGACCCACTTCAGGCAGGGGCTGGCAGGAGATGGAGCTGCCCTGGCTCTGAGGGCTGGCTCACTGGCCCTGCTTGATCCCACACAGCAGGAAGGGAACGCCAGGACAGCAGCCCTGAGTGGGGATACGGCCAGGGCAGCAGGGATGGGGGGCTGCAGCCAGGGTCACCTCAGATCTGCCACCCACCCCTGTCAGCCACCAATCAGGGTGTTAGCCAGGCTTCTGAGCTCCTCACAGGGTCCACCTAGACTTTTTTTTTTTTTTGGAGGAAAAACCCAATTTTCACAGCATGCCTACACTGCTGTTTCCAAAGCACGGGTTGCTTTTATCCCCACATTCGAATTCACCTGTTACGCAATATCTCAATGAGTAATCCAAAGGTTTTAATGCAAAAAGGCAAAGAGAAGGACACGGGGAGGAGGTAAAAGAAAAGGCAGCCAGGGTGGACTTGGTCCCCCATTTTCATTATCCCATATGGAATTTTTCTTATAGAATCATCGAGATAATCAAGTCCAACCATTAACCCACCACTGCCAAGTTCACCACCAAACCAGCACCCCAAGCCCCACATCTGCACATCTTTTAAACGCCTTTTAAAGGGATGGCAATTTCCCCACTTCCCTGGGTAGCCTGTTCTAATGCCTGACAAACCTTCCAGTGACTAAATTTTTCCTAATATCCAATCTAAACACCCCTGGTATAACTTGAGACAGTTTCCTCTTGTACCATCACTTGTTAGTCAGGAGAAGAGGCTCATACCCACTTCACTGCAAGCTCTTTTCAGAAGCAAATTGGAGGTCCAATTTTTAATGGGATGCAAAACTGGAACCAATTCTATCCAGTTTTAATTCAGTGAGGACTTTATCTGGGTGACAGAACTGCCAGAGTAAATTGCCAGAGTCAGGCTGCCCTTACTAGCCCTCCAACAGAACATTAAGGTCCATCTGCCTCTGGTCCTCATTTCTTGGTGCTTCCATTTCTTTCATCTGTTTCTTTCAGGTGGACTTTCCATGTCCTTTTCTCCTGATGGAGCATTTCCTTATCCTTCTGTTGGCATAATGTCATGTCTGTTTGTTTATACCAAACATGAGGGGTTTTTATGGTGCCTCATCAACCACTTTGAATTTTCAGAATGATGTGTTCCTTCCTTCTTTTGCTCACTCATACAGTAGACTTGTTCCTGATAGAAATGAGACATTTCAAGGATGATTACATGCTGTAGCAGCCTAGCACAAAATTACATCTTTCTGACCTGCTGTGCCTTAATGTGGTACCTTACTGACTTCCACAGTTCTCAGCTGTTCACCCTTTTTCCCTGAGGGTGTTCACAAAATAGAAAGTTAGAGTGAATTCATTCCCAGACAACCTCAGCAAAACTTCAGAGACAGGATGTTCTAATCAAGGTCTACAAGGTTTACAACATTTAGGTTTTGAATGTTATTAACTCTGCATTTACTTTTCACCTTATTGCTTTGTAAACCCTCGGTGTCCTGGAGCTCAAATCTCAGGTCTGGATCCTACTGAGGGCAGCTTCTATACACAGACATGTTTATACCCAGAGGTCACCTCATTTCAAGCATAAAATTTCTATGTGGGAATGGGCTTCTCCCATCAATGAGGAATATAGGTACTTCTGGAGCACATGCTAGGCACTGCACAGTGCTTTTGCTCAAAATATGAGATGTTTAGAGTTTGCCGGTTTTCTTCCCATATTTACTGTCTCAAGGCACTTACACTGTTATGGAGAGCTGCATTTATTGCTTTTTCTTTCTACTTTATATTCCTTATTCTTGTACAAGTCACTCTAAAATACATAAACCAACACAATATTTTTCTGCAGCAAAGTCCAAAACAAACAAAAGCTTTCATACAACCCCCCTCCACCTCCAAAAAATCTCTGAAGTTTCAAGCAGTTTTCTCACTTTGAAATGGACTATCAGTATTCTTCCACATAAACTTTCAGGTTCATCAAACTGTTTGTTCCAGCCCTCCATCGCTCTGATTGCTCCTGTTTGCTTTGCACTGGTGTTAAATTTTGTATGTCTACTTCTGTGAGTTCTGCACAGCATTGCAATGTCTGCTGATTCAGAAGGTAACAGGGATTTTTTTTTTCCAGGTCAGTAAGCAGAAGCTTAGGATTCAGCATACAGGCTGGTGATGTTGAAAGACCAGCTTTACAGTTTCTGACCTAAACAGGAAAGTCAGTCTATTATCTGAAAGGAATAGAAAACAGAGGACTGGGAGGTAAAGCAGTGGTCAGGCATTCCTTCAGTAAACCTTTGGAAGACTCCCTTGCATTTGGAGTTTGGGAGACACAAGATTTCAGCTTTGTCAAGCTTTTTGCTATGTTGAATCAAAATTATATTTATTTCCCACAAGCAGAGATGTGTTTGAACTGTTTCCTCCTTCTGAAGCTTTAAAAAAATGTTCTTGCACCCAGGCTGCTGCTGACTGTCAAGTCTTATAGGATGATGATTAAAATATATTTTCATAACAGTTCATAAAGGTGTATGCATATATATGGGCACATATATATTTGTATAAATGTAAGTATGCATGACAGGAATGCAGCTTTTCAATTCATGTCTACCAATGATTTGGACTCTGGCTTTGTGGTCACAGATGGGGAGTTTGGAATATTTATTATGTTCATGCAGTCTTTGAGTTGGAGACCAAGGATTGTGGGATCCCTGCTGTCCTCCACAGGAAAGGAACAGTGTGGGGATGTAAAGCATGGCGCCCACACCACAGAACCATTCAAAGGGCATATTTTTGTCAAAAATCACCCAAAAGCTCATCCAGCCATAATGCTTATGTACAACACCAGGAAACCACTGTGAGCTGAACCCAGCAAGAAATTGGGAAGTTTCCCAAGAATCCCTGTCACAATCTGGCAGTTCTGTCTCTGCACAGCACACAGGGTGACAGCAGAGCATCTCCCAGGTATTTTGTACCCCCAGAACCAGGGTGAAATATGAAATTGCTCTGTACATGTAAGGATAGGGCAGGGTGATGCCACAATCCCCCAGCCACACGAGGAGCCCAGAGCACATCTCTGAATCCTGGACTGCAGCCCTAACTACAGCAGCATCCTTCTTCTGCACAAATAAGGGATCTTGTTGGAATAAAGCTTCATGAGAAATGTAAATTTGGGAGAAACTGCCTGATTTCTGTGCTGCTGAGGCTTTCTGTGCAGTAGCACCATATGCCAGAAAAGAAGCAGGAGGAAAGTGAAAACCCAAACCTGCT